AGGAAGAATGAATTGGAGGAAATTGCCATTCGGTCTGGCATGGCGTCGACCATGAGGGCCCTGTGAGAGCGCGGCGTCGTCACAGCGGCCAACGACGCTGCTTGCGTCTGTCCCGGTCGGGGGGCGGAATCGCAAGTGATGTCTAGCGGCCGTCATCGCATTGAGGCCTTCGTTTTATGCAGCCTTGGAGGTGATTGGTTGGACCGCGCGAGGTGAACGCAGCCGAGACTGGGCGTGTTAGTAGGTCGCGTCAGACATTGAGCGAGAGATAGACAGGGTTCCGGCAGTTAGCGTAACCGCAACCCTGACGTGATGAGTCAGCGATCACTGGTTCCCACAGGGCCAACTTCAATACTTCTGGACGCAAGGGACTGAGAGAAGTAGCCAGCTCGTCTAGGCATATGCACACGGCCTAGCTCCCACACAACACATCAAGTTTGAACAGACAGGGACTGTTCGGATCTCTTAAGCGTTAGAGTACCATGGAGGTCACATAAAGAGGAAGTTGATGAACAATCTTTTCACCTACATGAGAAGAACAAAACAAAAGGGTAGACCGTTGGGGCCAGTTAGCATGCTCAAACTGCGAATAACAACATGCTACGATATATCAAACAGGCCCAAGGTAGCAATATCCAAAATGGAATTCTAAGACAAAATGTGCGTTAATCAATAGATACGCCATGAAAAAAGACCCATTGATGGGCCGGACGCCTCGCAGCTGTGTCAAGCAGCGGCAAAATACCGGCGAAACACGCATCGGGCCTTTTAGCTAGTGTCTGGGCTGTTAGTATGGTAAGTTACGAAGTCAAAGACTTTATTCTAAGAATAGCCCTTTTTAAATAATACTTATCTCCATCTTCTAAATAAAAAAACAGGCACATTAATTTTGAACACAAAATTTCAGCACGCAGTCTCCCAATCAATAGTAAACTGGCGTGTAAATAATGTCCCCCGCACGCCAGGGCTGACGTATTTTGTCTTACTCTTACTCTTTTTACTCCTATATTCGTCGTTCTTGCATCTTCTTTAAGATTACGGAACCGAATAGCACAACCTATCCGTTTGACGAAGTTAAGGGTCAATTTCATAGTCCTACTTCAATCGATTTTCGAATGAGAGAAATATTTGTTTGTTTATCGATATTCCTTGTCAAAGGAATATATTTTCAGCCAGAATAGAAAACAATAATTGTCTATGCTCACACATAGTCTTTGCCTACCCAATTGGTGCTTGCTCTTTTAATGTAGTTCAGCTAATAATTTCATTGTATCTGTTAGCAGTAACGTCACTATGAAGATAGCTGCGCGGGGTTGCAAGCGTCGGTGCCAAATCGATACGTCGACCGATTGCATTGCCACCCGTGAACCAGGATTCAACCAAATTTTGTCTCGTTTCGCTTCCGCTATGGTGGATTATCTTGACGGCTGCGAAGTAGAACTCGTGGCCCATTTCTTAGGTGTGAGTCGCAACTAACGATAATGTTCCACAGGGTTGCACAGTCAGCCTGTATTTGTGTATGCGCGATCCGAGCATGCGTTCAGGTTTATCTGTGCGGTTATAGAGACAATTTAGGCATGGGCTGCGACACACTACCCTCGGCTTGCTCATTGGAATTCGATTTTTGTCACCCTGCTGCGCCCGGTAGCTTGGGCCAGCGTGCAATCCCAAAACCTAGTTCCACAACAATGCACTCGGCAGTTTTAAAGAAGTCCACTGTGTATGATCGAGCGTGCCATATCCTCTGTCGTGCTTCTGTTAAGGTCACCCGAGACCGTAAGCGATGATATCGGCTTTCAAACGTCTTTGGTTGGCCATTAAGTGGTGTTAGTGCTGTCCTGCAAGACACCTTGTTAGATCCTCCTTTGATTTTTCTTAAAATAAATGATATTTCAACGCCAGTTAAATACCTTCAATCTTTTATTTATGCTGATGAGTTCAAGTGTGTGCATTCCTTCTCAACCTATGGCCGAGCGATGCTTAGAACGAATTCGTTCAGACTTACACACTCCCTATGCTGAACTCAGCATGACCAATTGAATTATCGTACGCTTATCCTTCCCATTCTCGAATATTGCTGCCCATTTTTCGTTAAATGAACGAGTTCAGCCGTTCAAAAATCGAAAATGCCCAAAGACATTTTGGAAAAAATATTTCCTATTTAAATGGATGCTGGCTAACGGAACTAAAATTTATATGAATTTTGAGACTGGGAGCAGACTTTGCGTCTTTTTTCGCCTTAATAATAGTTCATTAATCCCCAGGATTTCTGTCCTTATACTTCTTATTCGTTCATACAACCTATGAAATTCCGCACTGATTATACAT